TCTTTCCCTCAGTTTGATTAGAATTAAAGTTACTGCAACTTCCTTTTTTTACTTGTATGTGATTGTTGCATTCTATAGCTCCCTGATTCAAAGCAGTGGAGAGAACCATAAATAATGATAAATTTAAGCAAAATGTACATACATTTGTTTGTTGTAAGCATTGTCAAGCTACTTTTTGTTGCTTGGGAGAAAAATGAAGATGTGTACATTTTTAAATGCACTCTGTTTTGCTTAACTTCTAACAGTTGCTCTCAAACTTTTACTATCTTCTTTTTTCATTTTATTCTAGGATTTTTGTTATGGATTTAACTCTTTGCCGCATGGACACAGAATTATTATATAAAGTCTGGACCCTCTAGCAGAACTTTTCTTAACCAACACTAAGAATATGTCAGTCACTCCTCTTTCTTGAATATAACTGCTCACTTATAACCATTTTAATCACAATGAGTTCAGGATTATGGAGTCAAGAAAAGGCGAGTTCATCCTATTGGGAAGAGCGAATCTTTTATTTGCTTCTCCAAGAATGCAGTGTCATAGACAAGCAAACTCAAAAGCTTTTGAAAGTGCCTAAGGGTAGCATAGGCCAGTTTTTTCAAGATCGCTCTTCAGTGGGACACAGCAGAAATATCCCTTCTAAAGGCAAGAAAATACAGATTGGACTAAAGATTCTGGAACAGCCACATGCGGTCCTATTTGTGGATGAGAAAGATGTGGTTGAAATAAAAGAAAAATTAGCTGAACTGCTTTTGGCCATTACCAACTGTGAAGAAAGATACAGTTTGTTTAAAAGCAAAAGTAGATTAAGTAAAGGCATCCATATAGATGTTGGGTCACCTGTAAGAGTACAGCTGAGATCTGGAGAAGATAAATTTCCTGGAGTTGTTCGCTTCAGAGGACCACTGTTACAAGAAAGATCATTATCAGGGATATATTTTGGAGTGGAACTTTTGGTAAGTTTCTTGCATACTTGGCATGTTAGATGAGACAAACTTATTTTAGCTTTATAACACGTAGAAATGCACTTCTTGAACAGTCAAGTGATGACAGGGCATCCAGAAAACAGCTTATAAGTTTATGTAATAAAGTATTTGGTTAATCTCTTCACAAAAAATTGCCTTTATGAAATAATCTTAAACAAGCTAATATCACCACGCTTTGGACTTGACTCCATATGCCAAAGTCTGAGAACTGAGCCTCTGAAGGTTCAATACGGACAAGTGCAGGGTGCTGCCCTTGGGTAGTAGGAACCAGCAGCACACTTATACGATGGGGAACTCCCTACTTGAGAGCACGGAGGCGGAAAGGGATCTTGGTGTCATTATTGACTCCAAGATGAACATGGGCCGACAATGCGAGGTCATGGTTGGCAGGGCTAACCGGACCTTGTCGTGCATCCACAGGTGCATCTCGAGTAGAGCCAGGGAGGTGATCCTCCCCCTCTATGCGACGCTGGTCAGGCCGCAGCTGGAGTATTGTGTCCAGTTCTGTGTGCCCCATTTCAGGAGGGATGTGGACAACATGGAGAGGGTCCAGAGGAGGGCCACCCGCATGATCCGGGGACAACAGGGCAGACCCTACAGTGAGAGACTGCGGGACCTGAACCTATTCAGCCTCCACAAGAGAAGGCTGAGGGGGGACCTGGTGACCGTCTATAAACTCACTAGGGGGAACCAGAAGGGTTTGGGGGAGACGCTGTTTCCCCTAGCCCCCGCTGGCATAACAAGGAGTAATGGGCACAAGTTGATGGAGAGGAGGTACAGATTGGACATCCGAAAAAACTACTTCACAGTTAGGGCGGCTAGGATCTGGAACCAACTTCCAAGGGAGGTGGTGCTGGCCCCTACCCTGGGGATCTTTAAGAAGAGGCTGGATACTTACCTGGCTGGACTCATTTGAGTCCCGTTTTTGTTTTTAGGGTTTGTGGTGTTGTGTTTTTTTTTGTTGTTTTTGTTTTTTTTTGTTTTGTTTTTTTGTTTTTTGTTTTGTTTTGTTTTGTGGTTTTTTTTTTTTTTTGGGTTGTTCTCCCGCCCTGGCGGGGGGTCAGGCTAGAAGATCTATTAGGTCCCTTCCGACCCTGAAACTATGAATAAGGTGTGAAATCCAAAGGTTTGGGGCCCACAGGTAGGATATTATTTTTTGTTTTTCCTTCGTAAGAAGAGGGCTACAGCTTGAGTTACCTTACTGCAGCTGCAGTGAGCCAGTATTTTTATTGGGAAGATGCAGTCTCAGTTAAGTAAATACGAGTTTACTTAGGTCTGTATGTGTTTTAAAATTAACATCCTAAATTCTCCTTGAAAACTAATTGGCAGCCAGTGCTTATTGCAGAGTTTTAATGATGCATGCTTCTAAAAAGATGTTCTTTTAGAAGATGCTCTGATATTTACATTATGGCCTGAAGAAGAATGTGTGGCAATAAGTCTTGATCTGAGAGTGGTAGCAAGATCTACATGCTTAGAAAAAATGTATGTTTTTGAAGAGGTGCAAATGGCAATTACTTCTGTCCATAGCTCCTGTTTGGTCTATCTGCAACCTCATCAGTTATGAATATGGTAATAACCGACAGATGTACATTATCGACTTCAGGGGCCAGATATCTTTGCTATAGCTTCTGGTTGTTTTTATCAATTTACTGATATTACCTTGTTTGACCTGAGCACCAGCCAAGTCATTCTTACTCATACCCCAGCCTTTACCACCATCTTTAAAAGAAGAAAAAAAGTTGTTGTATTCTAAAGTGATTTTGGGGGGGGGAAGTAAAGGTACTCCAGTTGCAGTTTCTCAAGTAGTGATGTATTCAGTCTCTGCATCTGTGGGTCCTCACCTTCTTCCTCTCCCCCCCCACCCCTTTTTTTTGTTTTTCTTTAACAGTGATACCTTTTTATATCAATAAAATGAAACTTTCAGCATTTCAGCAG